GCCACTTAATCCATATAATCACGGGAGTTACTCCCTTTGATGGTGGAGGCAAACTGATTGCGTCAGTTACCGTCCTTTCCGCTTCCGCTTCTCCGTCTCCTGGAATTATCCGCTGCCTCTCTCCCTTTCCCACAGCAGCCATATATTTCCTGTCCTCCGTCAGTCCAGATCCCATCTTCCGCAACAGTTCCCGAGAGAATCCACATCTCCACAGCCTTCTGTCTTCCCCGTCCCATTTCTCTGCGCGCACGGAGGAGCGGGAGAGCAGGTGCCTCCAGAACCCTCAGCCGCTTGAGAATCCTGCACGGGGTGAGCGGCAATTAGGTTTTTGGGGAGCGATCAGCGACTGCTCGTCCATCTTCTTCCTGCTGGACATCACTCTTGGATCCGTCTTCTCCCTAGAACGTCAAGGCGCGTCTTCTTCCTGGCGATCCGTTCGTGGGACTGCACTGCGAACATCTTCCTGCATCGACTGTGGTCTGCGACTTCGAGCAACGCACTATGTCGACTAGTGCGAATGGAGCCTCTGATGCCCTCGACATGAGACCCTCCGCTGGGTACAGTCTAATCTCTATGATTACTGTATTTTGTATTCTTACTGTATCAATCAGTATATCATCTATACATGTTGTATCGTTCATAAGAAATATACACATGCACATATATGGTATCACAAACCTGCTGATGTTATATTTTTGGATTAAACTGATAATGAAAATGCCTAAATTTCTAACATCATCCGGCTAGGAACATGGTGATGATCGAGGTCCACCGAGTTCTCGGACGCAAATTCGCCGAAAGCTCTTACCTGGCGCGTCAGCTATTGGTGTTTGATGACCGACAACACGTCACGGGATTACCCGAGACGATAATTAGTGGGCTTCGGCGTAAACATGAAGACAACGATTTGTACTGGTTCAGGCCGCTTATAGCGTGATACCCTAGTCCAGTTAGGCGTGGTGCCTTTGCGTTAGGTGGTTGTGTATGATTTACATCTGCTGATGCGATTCCGCCGATCTAGGGAGCCCTACCCTCATTTATATAGTTGAGGAGGCAAGTCTCCTAGCCGGTTACAAAGTAGGAGACCTAGTAGGATTACAAGATAGCAGTCCTGGTAGGATTACATATAGAGAATTCTAGTTGGACTAGATCTTCTACTTTTCTTACGGGGTATTCAAGATGAGGGGGTGCTCTCACTCACTCACTCTCGCAATGAGACTAGTAGAGTCAAAATATACTTATCATTCTGGGACCGAGGGAGTAACTAGGTTCATCTCAGTCCATATCCGGGGGCATCATGAAGTCCTTGACAAAACATGGATATATATTTGATTATGAGTGGCTAAAAAAACGGCAAGCTTTGATCAATTGAAAGCTCAACGACTTTTATTTGTGAGCATCGCCAAGGATGGATTCCAACTGAATCATCGTACCTAGACTCAGATGAAGCAAACCAAACCACCAACATAAGTACTTAATGGCAGGAATCCAAAAGATTACTTTGTCTTTTTTTTTGTATTTTTATGTGTTTCCATGGCATCGAAACAACGAGAGGGAAAGCGATGTTGCCTACTCTGCTGCGAAAGGAAAGGGGCTGGCTATATAGGAGAGATGAGAGAGAAGAATTCGAACCTTGTTCTTGAGCCAATTTGTGACAAGCTGAAAAAACAATCAAGTGGGCAATTGTTTGTTGTAGGGTTTTAAATTTCGGTTTGCATGTTTGTACCGTTCATGGCCAAAATTACTGAATTTTGATTAATCGGCCCCAAATTTCAATCAAATAAAATTAATTTAATTAATTTTATGTTGCACTTTTTTTTAAAAAAAAAGAAAGATGGCCTAGAAGGTGGAGGTGGAAGCTTCCCATTTACTTGTGGTTTTTAGTTGACACAGATTATATTTCCAACCACTAAGTTCTGGTATTTCAAAACAAAAACATATTTTCACTTGCCTCTAGAAACACCCAAACTCGTGAAGGATAAGTTACATCCAAGATATGCTTCTTGTTTTTCTTTTTATTGATATAACTTTTTTTAAGACCAATGAAGTATAACTCTCTCTTTTTGCATTCATAGTTGGGCCCAGCAAATTGCGGTGAGTGGAACCAACAATTAAACAGATCACGCGTGACCAAATTTTTCCTCATGGCCACCTAAAATACAAGTCCTTTTTCTTTTCTTTTTTTCTGTAGTTAGTCAGTTAGTGCTCAGAAAGAATATTCAATTTGCATTTCTGTGCTCAGGACTCGTGACTCATAACTGACGAGGCAATTAAGGTGCAGTGCAGATCACCCTCATTTTTTTACATGTCACTGGACTCAATTTTGCGCTGGAAGGAACGAAGCTGCATTTTCTTCTTCCTCGATTGATCCGCTGTAATGGAAGATATTGACGACAGCCGAAAGCACAAGATAGCACATTCCAAACGTCCTTATGCTGGTACAACATACAGGCACTCACTCTGTCATTATCGACAAACCATTCACCTTCTCTATGATCGGACGATCTCAACAACTATGGACGAAATACAACAAAAAGATCACAATACTGTAGGACAGCGACGAAAGACACTACTAACTACGGGTACATCTTCCCAAGGCAACTAATCTACTTTGTCGGACCACACATCTTCATTCCTGGGCTCGGAGGATTCTTTTACCATCCAGGCTATGGATCTGCCTCCTCTCTAGGTAGTGGCTGGGTGAGGGGAAGCAAGGGCTCTGCTTCTGACACTTCCGAGGGTGAGGGTGCTGACAGTACTGCAACGCCGGTTCTCCTTCTTTCCGGCGGGTGGACAGGGATTCCCTCCAAGATCAAGGCATCCTGCCTTTCAGCGGCCAGCGTCCTACGCTTGGCCCTAGTGACAAGGTAGGCCTCCCCCAACTGATGGTCATGTCGATCTTCAGCCTCCTTCAGGGCTTGCAACATGGCAGTCTCACGACTCTCTGCGGCTGTCGCACTGGCATGCGCTTCGGCGAGCTGCACCTAGAGCATCCTGGAGAAGATCTCGGCTTCCTCGGCTCGCCGGAGGCACTTTCTCAGCTCCGAGGCTTGCCGGTCATAATGCTCATCCAGAGCAAACAGGTACGTGGTCAAGTGCACCACGGTTGGACTGTCTTCTTACGCATCCCGCCCTTGCAAAGCCTCCATACGAGCCCTCCATACCCGTTGATTCTCTTCCAAAGGTGGAAAGAACCTCATGGGGGTACGAGAAATGGGCTCTTCATAGATCTAGTAAAGATACTGCAAGACTTTGCGGGCCACAACTTGGTAGGTGTCGACGAAGCGAAACCCGGTTGCGGTCACATTCCAGGCTTCAGTGATGTCGGGAAACTCCTCACTCTTCCCAATATAAATGGTAACTTCACACCGCTCAGTGTCATGCTTTTCATACTCACGGCCCTCATACTCGGGACGATCTTTGACTCTCAGCTTTTGCAGGGTGGCATACAGGATTCAGGGAAAACCCTCAGTGTTCAGGCAGTAACTGCTAACCCAGGCTCCTGCCATCCCTGACGGTGGTTGCAAGGAAGGATTGAGCGAAAGGCTTGCTCAAAAGGAAAAGCTAGGCGGGCTGGAGTGCGCTGGGTGGTGGTACCGATGGCTAGGCCAGACTCTGCTTATAACGACAGAGCAGTCAGTGGGCGGGATTACTACAATGAATCGACTGAATTTTTCGCGCGTTCGAGACGGACGATGCCCGAGGCCATTAATGACTAGTACGGTTGTAGGGCAAGGGTTCGACAAGAGCGCAGAAAGGAGTACGGGGAGACGTGGGTCACGGCAGACGTGAACCACCAGCGAACGTGGAGCACGAAGTCACAGTGCAATAATAACTCCTGAACAAGGACGGGTCAGTCGTGTCCAATACGACTCGCGTGACATCCATGCTGAGCGCATCTATCAGCAATACGATCATGACAACTAAAGCAGTACAAGCGCGACTGACTTAAAAATCGTATACTGCACGAGAGTCAGTCCACCGAAGAAAAGCCAAGTTAAACCTATTCCGGCTGCTTAACTATAGTAATAGGGCTATTTTTATACTTCGTAGTTAAACGCCCTAAGTTCTGGTATTTCAAAACATAAACATATTTTCACTTACCTCTAGAAACACCGAAACTCGTGAAGGATAAGTTACATCCAAGAGATGCTTCTTGTTTTTCTTTTTATTGATATAACTTTTTTTAAGGTGAAGGGAGTATAACTCTCTTTTTGGCCCCACTCGCTTCGCTGAAAAAACAAGCCGAAACACTGTTTCGCCTGATTTGTTGTGAGAGAGAAAACAATGTTCCAGTTAAAAAAACAAGCCGAAAAAGATGGATTATAAGAGAAGCGAACACGGCCTTTGCATTCATAGTTGGGCCCAGCAAAGAGCGGTGAGTGGAACCAACAATTAAACAGATCATGCGTGACCAAATTTTTCCTCATGGCCACCTAAAATACAAGTCCTTTTTCTTTTCTTTTTTTTCTGTAGTTAGTCAGTTAGTGCTCAGAAAGAATATTCAATTTGCATTTCTGTGCTCAGGACTCGTGACTCATAACTGACGAGGCAATTAAGGTGCAGTGCAGATCACCCTCATTTTTTTACATGTCACTGGACTCAATTTTACGCTGGAAGGAACGAAGCTGCATTTTCTTCTTCCTCGATTGATCCGCTGTAATGGAAGACATTGACGACAGCTGAAAGCGCAAGATAGCAGCCGCACCTGCGCCCGTGCCTTCCTGGAGCCTTCTTCTTCAACTGTGCTCATCCCATCACGTTCACAGTACTGTACATGCCACTAGCTAGCTCCATCAAAGCTCTGATTTTTATGCACCCATCTTGACATGAGACAACCACTGACCCACCCATTATTCGCTCTCCCTGCCATGCCATTCCCGTGAGACTCAGACTGACAGAGAGTTGCTGCGACTGCGAGTGCGAGGCCGAGGCCGAGGCGACCTCATTTACCAGCCCAAAAGTTCCAACTGTTTTTACCTCCGGCCGGCCATCGGGCCATGGCCGCAACGCCGGAGGACGTCGCGGAGCCCGAGCCCTTCTCCCCCTCGGTCTTCCTCGACCTGCCTCCGACGCCCCATCCCCAACCCGACGGCGACGGCGAGGACCTGCAGGCCTCGTCGGACGACATGGTGCTCCCCTTCATCCGGCGCATGCTCATGGAGGAGGAGGAGGACACCGACGACAACATCTTGTACCAGCAGTACCCCGACCACCCTGCGCTCCACCTGGCACAGCAGCCCTTCGCACAGATCCTCTCGGCGGGCTCCACCTCCACTGCGACACACACGCACGCCGCCGCCAACGACTCTGCTTCCGGCTCGTCGGCCACCACCAACTCCAACGGAGCCCCCGCATTCGCCAACGCAACAAGGTTTAAAATAGCAGGCTATTGCAAATAGCGGCATCTTTTTTCCAGAAGCTATAAAGCTATAGCGCAGTTATAGCGGAGCTACGACAGATAGCGGTTTTTAAGAAAACCATAAAAAATCAAGTAATTATTTCATAAAAACACAAGAATCGTGAAAATTACTGAACACAAATATGTTTTCAAGGCTCTAGGAGTCTAGGGAATATATTTAATATGGCATTATAGCACAATTTGTGAGACTCAAGTGTTCAATTTTCTAAAAGATCAACTTAACAGCAAAAGATAAATATATAATAAGTAGATTGTCACTCTAAAAGCTAAAGTTGAAATAGCAGCGCTATTTTAAAGTCACAGCTAATCAATTTAGCGACATTAAAGCATAATATAGTGGTTACAAATGACATAGTGGAAAAATAGAAATAGCGTAGCGGGAGCTCTCTCCAGATGCTATAGCGGCGTTGCTATAGCCCGCTATTTAAATCCATGCAACGCAACCAGGCCATATGATCCAGTAGAGCTCTCCCAGCTGCTCCTCTGTAGGACACGCTCCGGCACGGGAGCCGGACTCGACGGTTTCACCGGCGGTGATGCCAACAACTCCTTTTCCTCGCCGGGACAAGGCAGCGCCAGTGCGTGCGGCCAGGCCCGCGCGTTCTTCAATGCCGGCGACACGGCCACCATCCAGAGCTCGAGCTTCGGAGACGGGGTGCGGGTTACCATGGACATGCTCAACCAGGCGTTCCTCAAGGGAATGGAGGAGGCCAACAAGTTCTTGCCCGCCACCACAACCACCATTTTTGGACTCGGCGCCACCTCCAGAGAGCACTTGCCCGGCCCCAGGGACGGCAGCATGCTGCCTCGTGCCTTTCCCTTACCCAACACCAACAGTGTGGTGGATAGCAGAGGCTGCAAGAACCGGCACAGCTGGGATGACTTGGATGACGACGCCGAGACCGGCAGGAGGAGCAACAAGCTGCTGGCACCTGAGCCGGAGGAGAACGGCGAGCAGGTCGACGACGTGTTCGTCAAAGGATACGAGCTGGCCATGGAGAAGATGCACGGCCTGAGCATCAGCAGCAACAATGGCAGCACGTCCGACGGGAAAGCGAAGAGGAAGTCAGCCGCGCAGACCAACGAGGCGGTGGACCTGCGCACCCTGCTCACCCACTGCGCGGAGGCCGTGTCCACGGGCGACCGCCGCAGCGCGACCGAGCTGCTCCGGCAGATCAAGCAGCGGTCCTCGCCGAGGGGAGACGCCTCGCAGAGGCTGGCGCACTGTTTCGCTGAGGCGCTGGAGGCGCGGCTCGCCGGCACGGGGGCGCAGGTGCACAGGTCGCTCGTGGCAAGGCGCACCTCCGGTGGTGTGGACTTCCTCAGGGCCTACAAACTCTACCTGGAGGTTTGCTCCTTCAAGATGATCGCGTTCAAGTTCGCCCACATCGCCATCTGCAAGGCCATTACAGGGAGGAAGAAGGTGCACATCGTGGACTACGGCGATCATCACGGCTTCCACTGGCCACCTTTGCTGGAGGCGTGGAAGGATCGGGACGGCGGGCCGCCGGAGGTGAGGATCACGAGCATCGAGCGGCCGCAGCCCGGGTTTCGTCCGGCTGCTCGGATCGAGGAGACCGGGCGCCGGCTCAGTGACTTCGCTCACCGGCGTGGCGTTCCGTTCAGGTTCCGAAGCGTCGTCGCGTCGAAGTGGGAGATGGTTTGCGCCGACGACTTGGACATCGAGCCTGACGAGGTGCTCATCGTCAATGGCCTGTTCCATTTCGGGAAGCTGATGGACGAGGGCGTCGACATTGACAACACAAGCCCTAGGGATATGGTCCTCCGCAACATCCAGAAGATGCGACCTGATGTGTTCATCCTCTGCGTCGAGAACAGCTCCTACAATGCGCCGTTCTTCGTGACGCGGTTCCGGGAGGCGCTGTACTACTACTCAGCGATGTTTGACATCATGGATGCAACGACTCCACGGGACAACGATGAACGCTTGCTGGTTGAGCAGGACATCCTGGGGTGTTGTGTCTTGAATGCCATTGCCTGCGAGGGCTCAGAAAGGGTGGAGCGTCCCGAGACATATAAGCAATGGCAGGTGCGAGGCCACCGTGCTGGACTGAAGCAGCTGCCCCTGAATCCTAATACGGTGAAGTATTTGAGTAAGAAGGTGAAGGATGGCTACCACAAGGACTTTGTGGTCGATGTGGATCAACAGTGGCTCCTTCAAGGGTGGAAGGGACGTATACTCTATGCCATGTCGACATGGGTTGCAGATGATGCTATCTCACATAGTTGTAGCCATCCATTCAACAAGCACGATACATGTTTCTGAATCACCTATGAGCAACATCATCACTAGCTGTTAGGCAGTTGTGGTTCAGCAGTATTGACTTCACTGAAACATGGTCTGACAAATTAATAACGTATATAGGAGAATAAGTAGTGACATAGTAACTAATGTTTTGTAAAATGACATGCATAAATATATTCTCATGTTTGTCCTTAGGATCTTAGATATAAGTTCTGGGGCAGGCTGACGCAGAGCTTATATTCTGTAAAATATAATAGTAACCAGAAGATCCTTATGCGTCTTTATTTTTTACCAGTTGATTAGCAATTTTATGGATTGCTTGTTTGAATTTTTGTGAAATGAGATATTTATATTGTGAAGTTGAACTGGTTTGAGTGGAAGGTGTGGTCACGCATACAAAAGATGCACCAAGGTTTGGTTGAGTCCTCTCTAACACGAACCTGTTTCTTTTTTCATTGATATTTTTTTAATATGTTGATGCTTAGATCGGCTATACACTACAAGGTATTAGAACGCTAGGATCGCAAACAGGTTGAAGGCGGGCCAGAATTGACCTAGCAGACTTCCAAATCGGCTATCTCCTACAACTAAAAAGAAAGAAAGTAAGACTACCGTTTCGTGTGGCAATCGTCGCTCCATCGGTCCGCTCCTCCCTTGCGATACCGAGACAATTGTCGCGCGCGGTCTTCCCAAACCCCGGCCAAAGAAGGCAGCAGAAATCAATGACATCCGTTTCCTAGAAAGAGCCCGATCGACGCGATCCCATCGGCCATCGCGCTATCTTGCTCGCCTACCCACTGTCTATCGCAGTCGCCATCGCGCTCCCTCCTTCGCCCTCGCTCCTTTCTTGCTCACGCCGCCGCCTCCTATCCCCGCGCCATCGACCTTGCTGTTCCCCACTTGCCTCCATCGTTCGCGCGTCTGGGAAGTGAAGGGAAGAGAGGCGGCCGCAAGCCGCACTGTTGGTGAAGCCCGCCGCCGGAGGCAGGCATGAACGGAGCACGAGCACGGGCGAGGTCCATCCGCAGCACCAGTGCTGCCGCCATCTCTGACTCGAAGTTGAGCGCGTGAACTAGGGCCTTCCACGACCTTGCGCTTGCCTTGTAAGGTTGCGAACCCATCCCTTCGTCCCTCACTCCCCCGTCCTTCGATCCCACGCTCGCCCTGGACGCCATCCGCCGCCGCATCGTCCCGCTTCCTCTCCTCCCTTCAGGCTGTCGCCCCGCCCTGCGCGTGGCCCTCTTGCGCCGCGGCGGGGTCTCGTTCCCCACGCAGCGGCGCCTTGAGGAACGCGGAGGCAAGAAGTGTCGCGGTGGGGTCACGGCGCCCGACATGAACGGGGACATGGCGGAGGCGAGGGCGGCGCAGTGGGAAGGGAGGCCGCTAGGTTCGAGGTGTCGACGGAACCCATGCTGGAGCTGCCGAAATCGGAGATGCCTGACTTCTGGGAGGGAATTCAGTGGGAGGCGCTCGGCTTCTTCGTGCAGTCATGTGGGCGTTCGGCGTGCGTGCCTCCTCTCCGTTACCCTGCACCACTAGCCTGGATGTTTAGAAGTAGTAGAAGCATCTTTTTTCCGCAATATATCACGCTAATTGGACACGTCCATCAGTCCATTGTCTCTATGTGGAACTGCTTGCATATAGAAACTCTAATTAGACACCATCACCAATGCATTATAAGGTTTAAATGTTAGCGGAGCACTTTTGCCTAGAGATTAGAGAATTGAGTATTGCAGTATAATAGTGTGCATTTGTCTTCAGCTTTGATGTGTAACTTCACGCACAATAGAATCCCTTTCAAGTGCCACAAAGCCATTGCTTTGTTTCACCATCTGTCCACTCTTGAGTATTTGTTGTACCGTGACTAAATAAGTTCCTTTCCGGTGGCTATAGGCTGGGAAAGAATGTGTTACCGAAAACACATGAAGTTGGTTATTCCTACACTGCTTAACAAGAACAACCAATAATCTCTTTGCTCGGTGCATTGAATGAAACAATCCCAATTTTTGTTAAGTAGCAGCAGCCATACATCCTTACTGAAGCCTGAACTTGATTGTCATGGAAACTGTCGGTGATTTCCAAATCACTGCACAAGAAATAAATCGAATGTTTTCTTCTTCATATGCTTAATTGCAGTACATCTTTTTCTGCTCTTTTAGAGTATAGCAAATGGTATTCATGAGCTAGCATCTGCCTGCACAGTTTTTATTCCTTAATAATATGATTTTAACACCTTCGAAAGCAATGACAGGGAGGGCTTAATATTCTTTTTTGTTGTGTGTTATGATTTTTTTCTTATATCTTAACTAGAATACATATAAAATAATGGGGATGACATCTTAGAACTTCCATGCCGAGGAGAAGAATGCAACTTGTCATTTGTCTGTCGTCGATGAGGGAAGCAGCTGGAAATGGAGAAACGAAAAATGGATTATCTATTGGATTTATTCAGTTGAGATTCTTTTTCAGATGTTGCTTTTGGAGACAGTTACACTTTCTTTATACAGATTCGTATTGATATGTGTGTCATTTTGTTCAGCTTAAAACTTGGGATCATTCTAAGATCAGATCTAGCATGTGTTCATTTTTTTCAATATAGTAAACTGCTCTGCTCATATACCGGGACTTGTGGCCGGGTGTTGAATACTTGAATCAGCTCGTCCCACCCTGTTGTTTAGTTCAAGTGATTCTCTCCATTTACAGTAGACTGCGTTTTCTCATTCCTTCCATTGAGAGGAGGTACTTTCTTAATGTATTGTCACTGGAAATTATATTCTGATGAAAATACATGAGCATCTGATCTGAGCACTTGAGGCTGCAAGGATAGGAGTAACTTGTTGATCATCGTGTTGCTGTTTTGTCCTAGCAGTAAACCAATTTCTCATTTTTTAGATGCATTGCATTTGTCAGACACCACATGAAGCCACTGAAATGGTTTTCTCCTTTTCATGTAACTGAGATTGTGAAAACTGAAAAGTCATTGTTGAAAATTGTCTGCTGTTCTGATCTCAGAAGTCACAAGTCTGAAACATGAACTTCACCTCTGCAGGATAATGTTTTAGCTGAGTCAAGGATGATGGTCCCTGACTGCCACAAAACTGCACTGGCTGATTTGAAAGCAACACTCGTACGACATGAAAAAATCCCTGACCATATCCTCAAATATTGTGCATTATTTTTCTTAATTCATGTAAAAGATTGTATCCTTGCATGCTGAACTGAAGGAGTCAAATGAGCAAGGTGCTGAGATTGAAGAAACTGATCAGAGAGTACAGTCTCAGAGGTTGAAGCGGATATCGGTGGCACATTTTTATGCAGTTATGGCACATTTTTCTTTCTCCCTTTTTTGTGCCTTGTTGATCTGTTGGCATATCTCTTGGAAACTATTATGAGGGAACTGTGAATGCATATTTGAATGAAAGCAAAAGCCAAGGGCTGGAAAAAGGAATCCTATATCGGTGGATAAGATGTAATCAAGCCAACCAATTTCAACATCTTTATCTGTGAAGAACAGAAGAAGGCTCATACCATTGAACACACGTCTCAAAGTAGAAGCCAACGACAAAAGATTTGGGTGGCAGCGCAAAAATCACACGGACAAAATATAGTAAAACTGTTAACGAACACACATCTCAAAGTAGAAGCCAACCATAGTGTAGATACGTAAGTCGTTTCTTCCTGCTTTGATTACTTGTTTCCTATATAATATTCTAATCGCTACTGTGTTTGCAGTTTCTTTTGCCATGGCTACACGTTGAAAAGTATATGCTTTACGTTTTCGACCAGCAAAAGAAGATACTTATCATGATTGATTCTAGACCTGTTGAAAAGTGGTGTAAAGACGCACCGGTGATATGTATGCCTGGCAAATTCTATTTAACTTGTAGTATGTGGCCGCAGTGATAAAAGGTCCTAATGACTAGAAGGGGTGAATAGCCTATTAAAAATTCTACAACAACACTAAGACAAGTGATTAGTAAATAAGACGGCGAAGCAAATTTTACGCTAGCACTACACTTGTGTTGCAAGCCACATATCCAATTCTAAAGTCTATGATCTCTGAATGCAAACACATGGATCGCTGAATGCCGAGAAAGATCTTCATACATTGATCGACATCATCTTTTCAGATCTAAATGCAAACATGGCGGACAAAGACTACATCACCACCAGAGCGATTTTATCTACAGTAACGATTGGGTGGACATGATCATTATGAAAATGATTGATATGTTCCAGGGCGGCGAGACGGTGTATCACAGTTTTGACTCCGCGGTAGACGATCCACGTAACTACTATCCATTGGAGTTCCTTAATAGTTTGACCCTCAACGAGCTGCCTCCACACGTCTTGAAGCTCAAGCTCGGGTGTCCTGTCATATTGCTTAGGAATATTGACCCTGCCAATGGGCTATGCAACGGTACAAGGTGGTGGTGCGGGGGTTCCGAAGAAATACAATCGACGCGGAAATCATGGTGGGGCAGCATGCTGGGAAGCGGGTATTCCTTCCTCGAATACCGCTATGCCCGTCTGATGACGAGATGTTCCCGTTCCAGTTTAAGAGGAAGCAGTTTTCTATCAGGCTGAGCTTTGCCATGACGGTCAACAAGTCACTGGGCCATAATATCTCGAACGTGGGTGTGTACCTACCCGCATCGGTGTTCTCTCACGGTCAGTTGTACGTTGCGATGTCTAGAGCCAGTCAAGAACCAATATTAAGATCCTTGCCGTCCCGCCTGATGCGGTGGCACAAGAGGAGGAGGCCAAAAAGATAGAGAAGAAAAATGCTAAAAAGAATGCCGAGGGCAAAAAAAAAAAGAATGCGTCAAATAAAAAAGATAAGGATAAGAAGACCCCAATAGCGGATGGAACTTTCACGAAGAATATTGTATTTAAGGAGGTTCTAACACCATAGACGAGGTAACAGAACATTACTAATGCATACAATGCATTTTTCCATTCAATTTATATTGTACAAATAATATATCACTAATACCATATTTGTTGCTATTCCAAGATAT